CGGGGAAATCCGGGGTTTGCAGGGAGGTGTTTTTGTCCCAGGATCCTTAGCTTTGAGGGCATATGGTATAAATGAATAGCATTCTACGTAGGTGTTCCTCTTGTCCAGGTGAAGAAAGGGCGTGTGGAGTGCATAGAGATTGATCATCTGTTGGGGCGTGTATGAAATTGGAGTGGGTCTAGGGTTTCTGGGATAATGGTGTTGATGTGAGCATGACCAGCCTTTCAAAGCACTCATGGCTACAGACGTCAGTGCTACGGGTCGGTAGTCATTTAGGCAGGTTACCTTAGTGTTTTTGGGCACAGGGACTATGGTGGTCTGCTTGAAACATGTTGGTTTACAGACCAGTCAGGGACATGTTGAAAATGTCAGTGAAGACACTTGCCAGTTGGTCAGCACATGCTCGGAGGTACACGTCCTGGTAATCCGCCCTGGCCCTGGGCCTTGGGGAAGGGTTGACCTGCTTAAAAGTTACTCACATCGGCTACGGGAGAGCGTGATCACATAGTCATCCGGAACAGTTGGTGCCCTCATGCAGCTTCGTGTTGCTTGCCTCGAAGCTAGCATAGAAGTGGTTAGCTCATCTGGAAGTCTTGTGTCACTGGGCAGCTCGCGGCTGTGCTTCCCTTTGTAGTCTGTAATAGTTTCAAGCCCTGCCACATCCGACTAGCGTCAGACCCGGGGTGTAGTACGATTCAATTTAGTCCTGTATTGACTCTTTGCCGTTTGAGGTTCGTCGGAGGGCATAGGGGGATTTCTTATAAGCGTCCTTTGAAAGCGGCAGCTTTTACCCTTAGCTCAGTGCGGATTTTTCCTGTATCCAGGGCTTCGGTTGGGGTATGTACGTACGGTCACTGTGGGGATGACATCATCAATGCACTTATTGATGACTGGATGTGGTGAACTCCTCAATGCTGTCTGAAGAATCCTGTCCTTCAGCTTAGCATCTGCGTCATCTGACCACTTTTTTATTAACCCGAGGTCAATGGTGCTTCCTGCTTTTAGTTTTGCTTATAAGCAGGAATCAGGAGGATAGAGTTATGGTCAGATTTGCCAAATGAAGGGAGAGGGAGAGCTTGGTAGGCGTCTCTGGTGTGGAGTAAAGGTGGTCTAGAGTTTTTTTTTTCCTCTGGTTGCCACATTTAAACATGCTGGTAGAAATTAGGTAGAACGGATTTAAGTTTCCCTGCATTAAGTCCCCGGCCACTAGGAACGCTGCTTCTGGATGAGCGTTTCCTGTTCACTTATGGCTTATACAGTCAGTCAGTTGCAATCTCAATGCCAGCATTGGTTGTGGTGGTAAATAGACAGCTATGAAAAATATAGATGAAAACTCTCTTGTTAAATAGTGTGGTCTACAGCTTATCATAAGATACTCTACCTCAGGCGAGCAAAACCTCGAGACTTCCTTAGTATTTGATTTTGTGCACCAGCTGTTGTTTACAAATATACACAGATCGCCACCCCTTGTCATACCAGAGTCAGCCGTTCTATCCTGCCGATTTGTAGCGTATAGCTGTATGTTGTCCATGTCGTCGTTTCAGCCACGACTCTGTGAAACACAAGATATTACAGTTTTTTATGTCCCGTTGGTAGGATAACCGTAATCTTAGTCATCCAATTTATTCTCAAATGATTGAAGATTAGCTAATAGGTTAGATGGGAGAGGCTGTTTACTCGCTCGCCGTCGGATCCTTACAAGGCACCCCGACCTACGTCGTTGAAGAAAAAATCTTCAGTCATTACGAGGTGAGTAATCGCTGTCCTGATATCCAGAAGCTCTTTTTGGTTATAAGAGACGATGGCAGAAACATTATGTACAAAATAAATTACAAATAACGCGGAAAAAAACACACATAATAGTACAATTGGTTAGAGGGCTGTAAAACGGCAGCCATCTTCTCCGGCGCCATTCTTCTAGTTTGCCCCTGGTAATGCGTTCAGCAGACCGCACCACCCTCTGGAGAGCCCTGCGGTTGCGGGCGGTTGCAGTTGCCTTACCAGGCGGTGATACAGCCCAACAGGATGCTCTCTATTGTGCATCTGTAAAAGTTTGTGAGGTAAAGGTGCCAAGCCAAATCTCTCTCTCTTTCTTTCTCTCTCTATCTCTCTGTCTGTACCCCCACCTCTCTCTCAAAACATCTATGTTAACCTCTTTAAGTTTATATGACTTCTAATGTGTTGAAGGATCTCTTTAAGGTTGTGTAGCTTCTTGCTTTCCAAAAAAAAGTTAATGCTTGTGTGCAACCACACACCATCTGGGCAGACATCGAAAGGCGCATGCTTGACCCAATCGAGGAAACCGTTGATCTACTTCAGAGGAACTGCGTCTAGAGTGATTCCTGTTGTTTGACATCTCTCACTAGAAGACTAGAATAACCAGCTGTTGCTACAGAACGAGACGACCAAATTCATAGTTAGTCTGTACCTTTTACCCCAGTTCCGTCTCGTTCTCCACACACGTACACATACCAAGATCAAGTGTTTTGTATATGCTTGCGTAAGATAGTTTGGCTATATAAACTGAGACCCAAAAGCATTCGGGGGGCCAACTGCACGTGTGTTGTTTGTTAATTGCCCTTTATGCATTTTAAAAAAAGATGATTTGAGAAATGGCAAAGCTCCCCCACTTGTTTGGGAATTTTTCCACGCACCTCTTTAACCTCCCCCTTTTTTTTTCTCCGGGGCAACCCCACCCCCCAACCCACCCCGGGTTTTTCCCCCCCCCCCCCCCCCCCGGGGGGAACCCCCCCGGGCCCCCCCCCCCCCCCGGGGGCAACCCAAAAAACCCCCCCTCCCCCCCCCCCCCCCCCCCCCCCCCGGGGGGAAACCCCCCCCCCAACCCCCCCAAAAAAAAAAACCCCCCCCCCCCCCGGGGAAACCAAAAAAATTTTTTTCCCCCCCCCCCCCCCCAAAAAAAAAAAAAAACCTCTTTTTCTTTTCCCCTTTTTCCCTTTTCTTTTTCCTCTCTTTCTTTCTTTTTCTCCTCTCTCTTCCTTTCCTTTCTCTTCTTTGTAAATCCCCCACCTTTCTCTCTCTGTCAATACCCCCCCAGCGTGTGAGCTGTATGCGTTCTGCGGAGCGTTGTTTGGGATGACCAGTATGATCACTCTGCTGGTGATCGCCGTGGACCGCTACTTCGTCATCACACGGCCGCTGGCGTCCATGGGTGTGATGTCACGACGTAGGGCCCTCTACGTCATGGCTGCTGCCTGGTTCTACTCTATGTTCTGGTCCCTACCGCCCTTCTTTGGCTGGAGTGAGTCGGACGGACGGACAGACAGACCGACACGCGGACACAAACACATGCACTCGCACACACATGCACGCAACACACACTCAACCATGCACACACACACAATCGCTATAGCTCTGTGTGTCTGAGGGATACACGACGTGTCAGTGTGTGTATATCTAAGTGTGTGTGTGTGTGTGTGTGTGTGTCAGGTGCGTATGTCCCAGAAGGGTTGATGACGTCGTGTTCGTGGGACTACATGACGTTCACGCCGTCCGTCCGCTCTTACACCATGCTGCTCTTCATCTTCGTCTTCTTCATCCCCCTCTTCATCATCATCTACTGCTACATCTGCATCTTCATCGCTGTACGCGGCGCCACGAGGTGAGCACACACACGTACACTATTGAACACATCTAGTAGGGTACCCAGTGTATTAGTCAACTAGCTCTCGCAGTCTCACGTCAGAATTAGACGGTCATCCATGTTTCTCAAAACTACAATTTCAAAGTTGTTCCAAACGTCAAATTTCAAAGTGTTTAAGGTTAAATGTAGGCATTAACTCTGATTTGTTAAGGTTAGGCATTAACTGTGAATGGTTAAGGTAAGGGTTAAGGTTTGGGATGGGCTTAAAACAAAAATATAAAAAATGAGAAAAAATGAAAAAGTGAGATACTGTCACGCGTGCTGTAGGTGGGTGTAGTGGTGGAATCAAACGCAGAACACCGAAGGATAGTCCAAACAACTTTAGTAAATCTCCAAACAGGAAAAATGACAACACTTGCCTGAAGGCAAAAATACGCACAAAGGCGAAATAGCAGAAAGCGCACTAACAGGTGCGTAACGCTCCAACGCAGTGGAAGAAAAGCTCAACCGAGCGAAAGGGCGAAAATAAGCCCTACACACGACAGACAAAATCCAATAACACACAACACTAGACAAACACAACGAGAAACTTATAGGACACTAATTACGCTAAACGAGAACAGGTGTGACAACAAACAGACAAAAGCAAACGAACATGAAACATACAACGGTGGCAGCTAGTATTCCGGAGACAACGAACGCCGAAGCCTGCCCGAACAAGGGAGAGAGGCAGCCTCGGCCGAAACCGTGACAGTACCCCCCCCTTGACGCGCGGCTCCAGACGTGCGCCGACTCCGGCCTCGGGGACGACCCGGAGGACGCGGAGCAGGGTGCGTCGGGTGCCCACGATGGAATTCCGTCAGGAGAGATGGGTCCAGAATGTCTCTCCTCGTCACCCAGCACCGCTCCTCCGGACCGTACCCCTCCCACTCCACTAGATACTGGAGACCCCCCATCCGACGTCTCGAATCCAAGATGAACCTCACGGAGTACGCCGGTGCCCCCTCGATGTCCAATGGGGGCGGAGGAGTCTCCCTGATCTCACTTTCTTGGAGTGGGCCAGCTACCACCGGCCTGAGAAGGGACACATGGAACGAGGGGTTAATACTTTTATATTCAACAGGTAGTTGTAATTTATAACACACCTCGTTCAACCTTCCCAGGACTTTAAATGGCCCTACAAACCGCCAACCCAGTTTCCGACAGGGCAGGCGGAGGGGCAGGTTTCTGGTAGAGAGCCAGACTCGATCACCAGGTGCGTACACCGGTCCCTCACTGCGGTGGAGATCGGCGCTCGCCTTATGACGTCGGAGGGCCCGCTGCAGGTGGACGTGTGCAGCGTTCCATGTCTCCTCCGAGAGCCGCGCCCACTCATCCACCGCAGGAGCCTCGATCTGGCTCTGCTGCCAAGGTGCCAGAACCGGCTGGTACCCTAACACACATTGGAAAGGGGTTAGGTTAGTGGAGGAATGGCGTAGGGAATTCTGGGCCATTTCGGCCCAGGGAACGTACCTTGCCCACTCCTCCGGCCGGTCCTGGCAGTATGTTCTAAGAAACCTACCCACATCCTGGTTCTACACGTTCCACCTGCCCATTACTCTCCGGGTGGTAACCCGAGGTGAGGCTCACCGAGACCCCCAACCGCTCCATAAAAGCTCTCCAGACTCTGGAGGTAAATTGGAGACCTCGATCAGACACAATATCCTCGGGTACCCCGTAGTGCCGGAACACATGGGTGAATACGGCTTCGGCAGTTTGTAGGAAGGCCCGGCATGGGGAGCAAACGACAGGCCTTAGAAAACCGGTCCACAACGACCAGTATAGTGGTATTCCCCTGTGAAGGAGGAAGGTCAGTAAGGAAATCCACCGAGAGGTGGGACCATGGTCGCTGTGGAACGGGCAGGGGTAGTAACTTACCCCTAGGCAGATGTCTAGGCGCCTTACACTGGGCGCACACCGAGCAGGAGGAAACATAAACCCTCACATCCCTTGCCAACGTGGGCCACCAGTACTTGGCACTAAGACAGTGCACTGTCCGGCCGATACCCGGGTGTCCAGAGGAGGGTGACGTGTGAGCCCAATAGATCAATCGATCCCGAACCTCGAGCGGAACATACTTCCGTAACGCCCGCTCGAGCTCAGCATCGACCTCCCACACTACCGGTGCCACCAGACACGACTCCGGCAGTATGGGAGTGGGCTCCACGGACCTCTCCTCCGTGTCATACCGCCGAGACAGCGCATCTGCCTTACCGTTCTGTGACCCAGGGATGTACGTGATCTTAAATGTAAACCGGGTCAAGAACATATTCCATCTAGCCTGCCGAGGGTTTAGCCTCCTCGCTGCCCGGATGTACTCCAGGTTACGGTGGTCCGTAAAAATGAGGAAAGGGTGTTGAGCCCCCTCAAGCCAGTGCCTCCACACCTTTAGGGCCTGTACCACGGCTAACAGCTCCCTGTCCCCTACGTCATAGTTTCGCTCCGCCGGACTGAGCTTCTTGGAATAGAAGGCACAGGGGCGGAGTTTAGGTGGCGCGCCTGACCGTTGTGAAAGCACGGCTCCAATTCAGGCCTCTACCTGAAATGGTAAAGAGGGATCCGGATGCGCCAGCACTGGAGCCGAGGTAAACAGGTCCTTCAGCCTCCCAAATGCCCTGTCCGCCTCGGCAGACCACTGCAGACGCACCGGGCCCCCCTTCAAGAGAGACGTGATGGGAGCTGCCACCTGTCCAAAACCCCGGATAAACCTCCGGTAGTAATTCGCAAACCCCAAAAACTGCTGCACCTCCTTCACAGTGGTTGGTGTTTGCCAATTACGCACGGCTGACACCCGGTCTACCTCCATCTTCACCCCTGACGCAGACAACTGATACCCCAAAAAGGAGACCGACTCCTGGAAAAACAGACACTTCTCTGCCTTAACATACAGGTCGTGCTCCACCAGCCTCCGCAACACTCTGCGCACCAGGGCCACATGCTCGACACGGGTAGGCGAGTACACGAGAATGTCATCTATGTACACCACGACCCCCTGCCCCTGCATGTCCCTGAAGATCTCATCCACGAATGATTGGAAAACTGACGGAGCGTTCATCAACCCGTATGGCATGACAAGATACTCGTAATGGCCCGAGGTGGTACTAAAGGCTGTCTTCCATTCATCGCCCTCCCTGATGCGCACCAAGTTGTACGCGCTCCTGAGATCTAATTTAGTGAAGAAACGCGCCCCATTGTTGTTTATATATACGTTCAAATACTGACTTGTATCACGGGGTGACCTGAGTGGTATTAGTATTGATCCATACTTTCTGCTGATAATTCACTGATGACCACTGTCAGTAATGGTCATATGTAAATGTGTGTGTGTTGCAGGGCTGTGCGTAAGATAAACGAGGGCACCAGGGACTCGGTGAAGAGCATGCACAAGATGAGGAGTGAGTGGAAGACGGCCAAAATCGCGCTCATCGTCATCCTGCTCTATGTCATCTCCTGGGCTCCATACTCCTGTGTCGCGCTCACCGCCTTCGCAGGGTAGGATGGTGTGTGTGTGTTGGATCGTGATACCCCCCCCCCCCCCACTCTCAACTGTATGGCTGCTCCAGCTGAGGGACAGTGTGTAAGAACGTCTGCTGTTTTCACCTAATGTGTTCGCTGAGTTAATCTTTTTCGATCCTTCTATTTCTCTCTTTCTCCAGGTATGCTGACATGCTGACTCCGTATATGAACTCTGTTCCGGCTGCCATCGCCAAAGCCTCTGCCATCCACAACCCTATTATATACGCTATAACACACCCCAAATACAGGTACACACATCACCATCAAATACCTCAAATACAGGTACACATATTATCTTTAAACACATCTGCTGTATATGTTGATGTGACTACTATCAATGATCTAAACTAGATTCAAAAAGAGGGTGCTGTTCAATAATTAGCTGACCTAGCATCTGTCTGACCCACGGTCGTTCTCTGTGTATCTGTAGTAACCTTATGTGTGTGTCAGTAATGACCCAGTGAGTCCGAGGTGACCTCTAACCTTTAAAAGAGACACAGACCCCATGGGGTTTGTTGACTACGCTTGTGACCCTTACAGTGGTAATCCGCGGTTGACACAATAACGAAGCGTTTTACCCGCCACTGGGTTCGGTGAAAATCTGAGGGATGGGGCTGGAGAACTTTAAGCAAGCTCAAATTCATAGACAGAGCTGTGGATGAAATGACTGACCCTCTATGATATAAAAATTATAGTTTTAACCATGTTTTGAGGCTATATAGTGTTTGGTTATATTAAAGGTGCAATGCAGCCGTTTTATCGCATATCAACATTTGGGAACTTACTGTGATTGATTTCAATTAAAATGGTCAAAAAGAAACAGAAATAGCTTCTTAGCAAAGAGCTATTTCCTCAAGCAAGAATTTTGCTAGGACTGTCTGGAAGTTGTCTGAGTAGGGCGGGGAAAACTAGCTGTTATTGGCGGAGAAGTTTGGTACTCTCTTTCTTATTGGTCTATTAACTAATTTATCAGGCCAAAACTCCATCCCACCAAAATAGGCTGAAATCTCAGGAGGTCTTTTCAAACAGCTCTTACACTATAACGGCATTATCATCATTTTCACAATTTCACAGTATTATTCCAACCTCTTAGTGTGGAAAACAGTATATATAAAACATGTTTATGACTGCACTGTGCCTTTCAAAAACAAGCTTATATAATTTGGATTCTGATGGGATACGACAGTTAAACAAAGTTCATGGGGCATTTCTTTTAGGCAAGTTATATTCTTCAGAAATCAATAGGTACATATCATTAATGTATAAGTCCAAGAATGGATGTAGCAACTGCAGATTGCCCCTTTAAGTCTCCAACCTTTGATAGATGAACCACATAGGAGCCTAGATTGCAGTGTGTGCGTACTTTCTCCTGAACATGTTCTTTAATCTGCAGCACCTGCTTAGAAACACTTAATGTATATATGTATCTAATTTGTTTGTAGAGTGACCTCTAACCCTTATAGTCTTTATGATAATTAGAATGTCAGATGGATTTATAATACCGTACATTAGACAACCTTAAACCTCCCATCACCTCTCTAGCTCAATGCAATTAATTAATTAATTAATTAATTAATCTCTCTCTCTCTCTCTCTCTCTCTCTCTCTCTCTCTCTCTCTCTCTCCTATCCAGGCTAGCTATCAGTAGGTACATTCCATTTATGGGTGTGTTGCTGTGTGTTCCTACCAGAGATCGTTTTAGCAGCAGCAGCTTCATGTCCTCCACCCGTCGTTCAACCCTCACCAGTACAACATCTGACCCCTGGCAAGACTGGCAAGCCCCGCCACTCCTCCCTGTCCGACAGCGAATCAGTGAGTCTTCCTGCCTCTCTCTCTTTAAACCTTTGGAATCCTCTTGGCACTGCCACTCCTATGAGGGGCCAGCTCCAGCTCTTCTCTGTCCTGGCACCCCAATGGTGGAACAAGCTTCCCCCTAACGTCAGGA